CCTTCCCCGTCCACAGCAAAGCTGGGGAGGTCTCCGGCCGGGAGACCCTGGGGTGAAGGTTGATCTGATGCGCCGCGTACCGAACCGCAAACGGCCACAGAAAATGGGGGGCAGCCGCATGCATCATGGACGTACGAGCGACGTCCATGACCATGCCAATGCGGCGCTCAGCAATCCCATTTTGCTGTGGAGAGTCCGGAAGCGTAAAGGTCTGGCGGATGCCTCGTGCACGACAGTAGGCTCGCAGAAGGCCAGAGGAGAACTCTCCACCTCGGTCAGAGTGCAGACGCAGAACAGGAAAGTCCGAGCCGAAGCTCCTCCTGAGCTGGAGACGAGCTGCGCGGATCCAGTCGATCAACACCTCAGTGACATCACCCTTGCTGCGCAAGGGGAAGACTGTGGTGTAACGCGAGTAGTCGTCAACCACCAGCAGGAAGTAGCGCTCGTGACCCTGCCCACGGACGCGGGCGGGGCCCCACACGTCCATGTGAAGCGTCTGCAGTGGAGCCTCTGTCGGGGGGAACTGGGAGGAGTGAGGGGCAGCCCGGAGCCGCCCCTCGACACAGGGGACACAAGAAGGTCCGGGTCCCGAAGGAAGGGGAGGGAGAGACCGGGGAAGACCAGAGACAAGGACACGGGAAGCCATGCCCCGAAGACGAAGCAAGGAGGGGTGGCCAAGACGGTGGTGCCACAGGAGAGTCTCGTGAGACAAGCGGCGACACGAGCAGGGGGCAGACTCAGGACCAGACCTGGACGCAGCAGCAAACACTTGACCCGACGCAGCTACCTGGCCAGACGCAGGGACAGGAGGAGACGCAGTGGTCAGTGTGTAGAGACTCGACCCCGGCCGACGCGAGAACGTGGCCAGGTGTCGGCCTGTGCGGGCGTCCGAGCAGTGGGTCACCCGCTGACTCGCAGGAGTAAACTGGTGAACCCCCGCATCCTGGAGGTCAGCACCACTCACCAAGTTCGTCGAGAACGAGGGGAGGTACAGACCAGACAAGGTGCCCGAGGGGGCAGCCGGACACGGGAGGACAGTGGAGAAGTGAGAGAGGACTGGACCCCCAGTGGGGTCAGCCAGGGAGACTGCAACCGGCCGGCCAAGCGGCGTGAGTGTGGTGCGGTCTCGAAAGAAGGAGCGAGAAGCCCCTGAGTCAAGCGTGAAGGTGAGGGAGGCCGAAGCCGACGCAGTACCTGAGAGCGCAGCCTCACCAGTACCTGAGAGTGCAGACGCACTGGCACCTAGAGCAGCAGCCTCAGAAGTACCTAGCGTAGCAGTACCAATGCCCGGGTCGGGCGGGAAACACCGGTAACAGTCACCCTCCTCACTAATAGTCACAGCATACATGGCAGCAAGGATAGCATCAAAGTCAAGATCAAAGATAGCTACGCCAGCCCTAGACAGCTCTCCCCAACGGGGAATCTCACTGGCCTCGGGGAACTGCTGACGCCAAGCGTCCGTCAGGCGGCCAAAGCAGCGCTGAGTGGGGTGCGCACCCCCACACTGCTCACCCGCGCGGTCACCGGAACGAAGGACGTAGGTGCACGGACCAAAACCCCCACCCCGCTGACGCTGCGTGTACCACTCACGGAGCTGCTGGGGCGGGGGGATGTCCCGCGAACGCTGCTGCTGCTGCTGCTGCTGCTGCTGCTGACGCTGGCCACCACTAGGGCCGCTACGCTGCGGGGCACCACCCCGACCAGCTCCACCCCCTCCGCCACCGCTGCCTCCACCTCCACCACCACCGCTGCCTCCGCTCCCACCGATGCCGCCACCACCGCCTCCTCCTCCGCTGCTGCCACCGCCACCACCGCCCCCGCCACCACTCCCACCGTCACCCCCACTCCCTCCTCCGCCTCCACCGCCTCCTCTACCGCCCCCGCCAGCTCCACCCGCTCCCTTGCCCCCCTTGCCCCTGCCAGGGCGGCGTCTCCCGCTAGGGGCAGACGCCGCGCAGACCGACTCAAGACCAAGCAGGTCGGCAGCAGCAGCAGAGGCAACAGAGGGCAGCAGGGGGGAAGGAGAGCACCCCTCAAAGATGGGGGTGCGAGGGTCACCACGAGAGGCTCCTACAGCGACGATGCTCTTCTCCGCCGCCAGGAGGGACTTCTCGAGGAGGTCGACAGTGAGAGTGGTGGGACAGACCGAGAGGTAGTGGTCCCTGACTACGCGAAGGGAGTCAGGGAGGCGTGTGACTATGTAATAGAGAGTGATGTACATGGGGGGGGGGTTCTTGGCGCAGAACTCAGCAGGAAGGGCGGCGCGGTAGCGAGTGTCACTAGTGCGGAGGTGCGTAATGAGGTCAGCGACAGTGGGAAAGGCAGTAAGGTCAGGAAAGAGGTACGGTAGCATGAGGCGGCTCAGGGCAGCAGTGGCAGGGGAAGAGTAGCGCGCAACTACAGCGGCGTACAAGGTCTGAGCACTCTTGTACTGACTAAAGTGCGCGCGCTCAGTGGTAGGCAGGTGGCGACGCACAGCAAGACGTGCAGCAGCATCGCGGGTGGCCCACTGAGAGCGAACAGTGGGGTCAGCATCAGTAGCAGGGGCAGGAGAGGCGCCAGAGGTGAGGTCAAAGAGGGAAAGACCGTCCGCCCTATCGCACTGTAAGAACAGCTGCAGGTCGTCGACCCAGACCTCAAAGTCAATGGCTCGACCCTCAGCGTCAAAAGCGAGGACACTAGGGGTAGCCATGACGACGACAGACGAGCAGTGCAAGCAGTAGGGGAAGGGCACGCAGTGACAGTGGGGCTGTGCTCACCGGACAGGGCAGGTCGGGCGGCTCGGCAGTAGGGCGGCTCGGCTGCTCAGCGGCTCGGCGGCAGGGCGGCTCGGCTGCTGGGCGGCTCGGCTGTTGGGCGGCTCGGCGGCAGTGCGGCTCGGCTCCCGGGCGGCTCGGCGGCAGGGCGGCTCGGCTCCCGGGCGGCTCGGCGGCAGGGCGGCTCGGCTCCCAGGCGGCTCGGCGGCAGGGCGGCTCGGCTCCCGGCGGTTCTGCTGCTAGGCGGCTCCCGCAGGTAGGGCGGCGGTAGGGCCGCAGGTAGGGCGGCGGGCGGGCCGTAGGTAGGGCGGCGGGGGGGGCCGTAGGTAGGGCAGCGGGCTGGCCGCAGGTAGGGTGGCGGGCGGGCCGCAGGCAGGGCGGCGGTAGGGCCGCAAGTAGGGCGGCGGGCGGGCCGCAGTTAGGGCGGCGGGCGGGCCGCAGGTAGGGCGGCTGGCGGGCCGCAGGTAGGGCAGCGGGCGGGCCGCGACGTGAGGGCGGCGGGGCCGCTGTAGTGGGGCGGCGGGGCCGCTTAGCAGAGGGCGGCGGGGCCGCGTGAGCAGGGCGGCGGGGCCGCGAAGCAGAGGGCGGGCGGGCCGCGACGTGAGGGCGGCTGGGCCGCTGCAGCAGGGCGGCGGGGCCGCTTAGCAGAGGGCGGCGGGGCCGCGTGAGCAGGGCGGCGGGGCCGCGAAGCAGAGGGCGGCTGGGCCGCGCGAGCAGGACGGCCGCGAAAGAAGGGCGGCGGGGCCGCGTTAGTAGGGCGGCGAGGCCGCGAAGGAAGGGCGGCAGGGCCGCGTGAGCAGAGTGGCGGGGCCGCGAAGGGAGGGCGGCGGGGCCGCGAGGGGCGACACGGAGGGTCGCTAAAAAAAGGAAAACGCGCCTCGGGGCGCGCTTCGGTGGGCCCTAGAAGCAGTCGCTAGGAGGGGACCTGCTCTGATTCCATGTGAAAGGAAGAACGAGAATGTTTGAACTATGAATGAAGTGAGTACATATGGGAAACCCTAATTGGGTTGTACCCCTTATGGGATACCCCACTATAGCCTACACAACAGCATAAGCTATATAATGTTCTGACATTTCCAGCGTCAACTGTTCGAGTTGGCGCATGAGTTGAGCAAGCGTGTTGCCCATGTCGTTGGGGAGAGCGTTCATGGTCTCGTCCATGTTGGCTCGACGACTCCAAGTCTACAAGTCGGCACCGCGGGACGATGGCGTCGTAGTCTCGTCGTCGACGATCGCTGGTTGGAAGTCGCTTCCCGCGAAAGCTCTGATACCAAGTGTTATGCCCCTTGGCCTAAATCCGCTAAGGAATAGCGGGGTTGACTAAATTGAGGATAAAGCGTGGCGGGAGACTTTGGCGGGCGAAATAGGCGAAGAAGTAACTGAGTAATTGATGAATGAGAATTGGTTGATAATGGCAAGTACAAGCAAGGTTGATATAGCATGCAAGATAGAATGTCGGAAAGTACTTCATGGGACTAGGAATTGAAGGCAAGAAAAGTAGAGTGCCACGTGGCACTAGGAAATCTAGGAAGATAAGGATAAGGGTGAGTTGGAATGTACTGCTCGTAATGAACAGTAGATCCCCCCAAGTTCCCTCCAGCGGTCGCCGGGCACAGGTGTACAGTACCGACAACCAGGTGACCAACCGCTGTCTTCGGGGGAGGGGGGGTGCAGAAAACGGTGGCCCCCAACCCCGTGGGTGCCGTGCTCACCATTGCGAACCCCTAGCAGTCGTGCGCAGCCAGCGCATGCATGGGTTGGCCAATCGAAACATCGGAAGTGCTGCTCTTCTTCGGAAGTGACTGGCTGTTGTAATCATGGGGTCCTTCAGATGGGATCACGCGTGTTTTCATTCATGCTAAAAATCAGGTTCCGTTCAGATCGGCTGTAAAGTCGACACGAACATGATCGTGGCGAGTGTAGCACAAATCTGTTTCACACCCGACCACCACACAACGCGCTGTGCACCCTTTTCAACTGGTAACTGAGAGTTGTCGCCAAGGAGATCGCCCACGAATTTCGACACAGCGGGAAAAGAGTTCGTGCTGTTCATTTGCGGACGGCTGTAACTCTGGTTTGCCGTCGAGGTCTCAAAACAGTTCCAATTGCCGTCGAGGTCTCAACAAAAGCCTTTTGGTGCTGTCAAACTTGGCGTACCCCGTTATGCGAAACATCCAATCTGGGCTGACGTTTAGAACTTGATACACCATATATTTGGTTATCATCAGGAGGAGCCGAGCACCCATGTACATACAAGGAACGAAGTCTCGCGCGACCCTACCTGGATTCACCCGTTTTCGAGTGGGCGGGCTCCCATTCCATCCCTTGAACGTCATGACAGTCTCTTTCCTGTCTGCGCTTCGCGCTTGCCGCGCGTGCCACGCCTTTCCGCCTCGATCGACCGTCGCTCGTCGTCCTCCGCCGATGCGACAGCTAAGATTACCGCCGTTCGATTTTTGAGTCAGTTTAAACAGTGATCAAGTCTCAAAATAACCGCGACAGCTTTGGGACCATCATAGCCGCGCCTCGGCGCCCATCCATTCCGCCTTTTCTATCATCTGCTCCGCGCCCCCCTGGGGCCCTCGTCAGTTCCGCCTCCCCCCATCCTCTGCTCCGCCTTTCCCCCCTCTGCTCCGCCTCCCCCCTCATATTAGTCATCGGCTCAACCTTCCCCTCATCTTCTCCGCATTCCCCCTCATCCGCCCCATGCGACCGTCATCGGCGCGCTCTTTGCTGGGCGCGCGGCGGGGCGGGCGCTTCTGGGGGCGGCGTGGGTGGCGGGATGGGTGGGGCTGTGCGCGTGGGTGGTGTGGTTTGCGCACAAGCAGGCGGACGATCCGCGGCAGGAGGCGATCGGCGTGTGGTGCCGCACGCGCGTGCGCTACCTCCACCAGGACATCCGCTCCGCCATTGCGCGCGCCGAGGTACTGCGCTCTCGGAGGTGCGCGCGCCGAGGTACTGCGCGCGCAGTGCTTCCGCCGTACCTTAAAATTCGCGACGGTGCTTCCGCCCATCCCCATTCGTACGCGCGCAGGTGTTTCCGCCCTACCCTTTCTTCCGCCCCACCCTTCCCTTCCGCCCTACCCTTACCTTCCGCCCTACCCCTCGTCCCCTTCGTCCCCGCTGCACTGAACCCTCTTCCCGCTGCAGAGGCGGACGGGGAAATAACAAGGGGTGCAGTGTGGTGGAAGGGTTTATTGTTAGTAGTGGTGCAATTCGTGATGGGTGTTGCAAGTGTCGACAGTTACAATACAACCAATGGGAGCACACACGAGCAGCAGTAGCAGCCCCGCTTAGAGCCATGTAAACTGCCTGCCCTGCCCTGCCCCGCCCTGCCCTGCCCCGCCCCGCCCTGCCCTGCCCTGCCCTGCCCCGCCCTGCCCCGCCCTGCCCCGCCCTGCCCCGCCCTGCCCTGCCCTGCCCTGCCCCGCCCTGCCCCGCCCTGCCCCGCCCTGCCCTGCCCTGCCCTGCCTCGCCCTGCCCTGCCCCGCCCCGCCCTGCCCTGCCCCGCCCTGCCAGGAGTCGACTGGGCTGATGCGGGTGCTGGGGTCGTTTGGGCCGCGCAGCAGCAGCAACCTGAGCTACTGGGGGCTGGCGGGGTGCGTGAACAACAGCCTTTCAATCATTCTCTCTTTCAATTCTCACACACCCATACCAGGAGTCGACTGGGCTGATGCGGGTGCTGGGGTCGTTTGGCCCTCGCAGGAGCAGCAACCTGAGCTACTGGGGGCTGGCGGGGTGCGTGAACAACGTGAATCTATTGGAGTACACGATGTGGGCCGACCGCATCGCCAACTACAGCAGCGGCAGCGCCTTTCTGCTGCTCTACGGTGACCAGGACAGGTGAGAGGGAGGACAGGTGAGAGGCACACCGTGATGGTGGTACTGACTGAACATAGCATGTGAGGAAGGCGTCGTAAAGACCGCATCGCCAACTACAGCAGCGGCAGCGCCTTCTTGCTGCTCTATGGTGACCAGGACAGGTGCGGGGGAGGACAGGTGCGGGGGAGGACAGGTGCGGGGGAGGACAGGTGCGGGCGAGGACAGGTGCGGGGGAGGACAGGTGCGGGGGAAGACAGGTGCGGGGGAGGACAGGTGCAGGGTGGGACAGGTGCAGGGTGGGACAGGTGTGGTGCGGGGAGGGCTCGTGAGGGAAGGCCTGGTGAGGCGTCTCAAAGACCGCCCATTCTCGCCCACCCATTCTCGCCCACCCCACCCACACAGAGCTACAGCGGAGAGGATCACAGGGTATCAGGTGCGCTCCGTGCTGGGGCCACATTCGCACCCATTCTCACCCATTCTCACCCATTCCCGCCCATGCAGGACCACAGTAGAGAACATCACAGGGTACCAGGTGCGCTCCGTGCTGGGGCTGCCAGCGCCACACAAGGACCTGTACGACGTCAACATCTGATCTGATGTGTGTCTCCTCTTCTCACCCTGCCCCACCCAACCCCACCCATCCATGCAGAGCTACAGTGGAGAAAATCACAGGTTATCAGGTGCGCTCTGTACTGGGGCTGCCAGCGCCACACAAGGACCTGTACGACGTGAACATCGTCGGCAACACGGAAGAGAACATTCCGCCGCTGACAGACATCTCTCCCCTCATTCCGCCTGACACTCTCGCTGGCCTGCTCGCTGGCAAGCCCAGTGCTGGGCCCCCGCTGTTCGTCGCTCCTGGTCACGTGTCTAGTGGTGCGTGCCCCAACCCTAACCCTGTATCGCTTTTTGAGGCGCTGCTGACAGACATCTCTCCCCTCATTTGTCCGGATGCCCTTGCCGGCCTGCTCGCTGGCAAGCCCAGTGCTGCCCCCCCGCTGTTCGTCGCTCCTGGCCACGTGTCCAGTGGTGCGTGCCCTAGTCCCAATCCCTGTGCGTGTTTCTGAGTCGACTCAAAAATAGCTCAATCTGTTCGTTGCTCCTGGTCACGTATCCAGTGGTGCGTGCCCCAACCTTACCCCTGTGCTGTGCTGTGCGCGTGTTCCTTCCTATCCTAGTGTAAGTGTGTTCTGGCTACTTGTTGTAACGAAATATCATAGCAGCTCGCACGCGGTATGGTAGTCCCACTCAGGCTCTTGAGACGTCTCAAACGATCTCGTCAAAGGAGAGTCTAGTACTTGTCTCGAGTATGTTACTCGTAACGAGTAAAAAAAAAAAAAAAAAAAAAAAAAAAAGCAACACCAGCAACAACAACTCGTGTTTTGTTGCATGTCTCGAGCCTACTTTAGAGACATCTTACATCTTACATCGCGAGCATATCCACACTTGACATGTCGCAAGCTCCTCATCCACACTTGACATGCAACGTGGATGAGGAGCTCGCGATATCCATCCCTTCTCTCTTCCTGTCCCTCCCTCCCCTTGCTCGCAGTTTTCGTCATTACCATTCTGCGCCAGCCCGTGCCAGCCAGTGCATCAGCGCAGGAGACAAGGGAGAGCATCAGCACGCTGTGGGGCGCTGTGGTGCAGCTGGAGTGGCGGGCGCGGAACATACTCGAGATGCTACAGGATGATGGAGAAGGTATGGTATGCTGCAGGATGATGGAGAAGGTATATGATGCTTAGAAGACGGTATTGAAGGCACCTTGAAACTGATTATGGAGCGCATCAGTACCACCACATGGGCTGCTGTGGTGCAGCTGGAGTGGTGGCGAGCAAATAACGACTTTAGAGGCGCCTCAAAAGGGAGAGCATCAGTACCACATGGGCTGCTGTGGTGCACATGCTGGCACTGTTCCACATCACTGTACCTCGGCTCTTGGGGTTTGTAGGAGCTGGGAGTCATTCCCAACTCGTAACTCTTCCTATCTTGTGTTCTAAGACTATAGTGGCTGCCATAGTACCGTTCGTTCAAACCGACGCTGTGTCGTCAATTCTTTATCAAATCGTGCAATCTAAATTGCTAATTGTAGACGACGTGAAGACGCTCCAGATCCAATTTGAATCAAGTCATTTGCAGCTGTGAGAAGAACGCTATCAACGTTTGAAGCCGCTGTGCAGAAATCCGTCTGTGCTCTCTATCTTTCGTTTTAGGCACATTCAAGCCTATTGTGACTATAACAAGTGGTATCAGAGCCCCTTGGAGCAGTTTCGACAATGTCTGGACCTGAGGAAAGGGGTGGCAGAGGTGCTGGTGGCAGTGGAGAAGCTCAAGCTCAAGGCCAACCCCGTGATTCAGCCATGGCGCCCATGCAACCAAGTCTTGGCCCACCTAGGGATGAGCCTAGGGTGTTTGGGCTTGACAAGTTCAACGGTGACAACTTTGCTGAATGGTCCTTCAAGATGGAGAACATCTTTGACCACTATGACCTGCTGGAGGTGATGGAAGGAACGGAGAAGCGCCCCGAGAACGACCCGGAGAAGAGCCCGTGGGTGCGGAAGAGCGCACAAGGCTATCTCTTACTTGGGCAAGCGTTGGGGAGCAGTCAGATCCGTCACATCAAGCCATTCCAGCGTGAACCAGAGAAAGGACCAAAGGCATGGGCTGCTCTCAAGGGTGTACATGCTCCTGCAACAGCGGCGGTAGCGGTGGTGTTGGAACGGCAAATGGCGGCACTACGAATTGAAGAAGACGAAGCGGTTGAAGAAGGGGTGCAGAAATTCTTCGACTTGTTGACGCGGCTTGAGGGAGCTGATTTGAACTACAGTGAGCTCCAAAAGAAGACCAAGTTGCTGGCCTTACTCCCAGGGTCATGGTCCTCGCTCATCATCAACCTTAATCGCGACTTGCCCCGCCTCTCGCTTGAAGACGTGAAGCGAGCTATCCTTCAAGAGGATTTCCGCCGCCGTGAGTTGGCGAGTGCGGATGGCGCTGGGGCAGCGAGCATCGGCCGTGGATATGGTCGAGGAAGAGGCAGAGGACGAGGGGGAGGAAGGTTTGGTGGCAGCAACTTCGGCGGAGGCCGCAGGAGTGGCGGTTACGGCAGCGACGACAAGAGCTACGGACGCGGTCGCGGCCGATTCGACGGCGAGTGTCACTATTGCCACAAGAGCGGACACATGTGGCGCGACTGCTACAAACTCCCTGATGGTTGGACCCCTGCTCAAGGCCAAGAGGGTAGAGGAGCAGGAGGAGGGAGAGGACGAGGCCGTGGAGGCCGTGGCGGTCGCGGTGGCGGAGCTGCAAACATGAAGAGCGGAGACAACGACAAGGACCCGAGCGACGATCGATACCCGGGTCTATTCTACTTCGTGTCGACGCAAGTACCGGCTGGTCCAGAGAAGGATGAAGGCTTTGAGGAGCCAGCAGCTGTGGGGAAGGTGACCCTACACCCCCTGGACTATTGGGTGATTGATAGTGGCGCTACCTATAGCATGACACCTCGCCCGGACTTGCTCACCGAACTCGAGCCGTCACTGGTGAAGCATGTCACATCGGCTTTGGGGCAGCGAGCAGAGGTGAAAGGCATGGGCAAGGCCATGTTCAAGGGTGCTGATGGGAATATGGTGGGCCTCAAGAACGTGCTTTGGGTGCCCAGCCTTGCTGCAAACCTGATTTCCGTGCGGCGGTTGGCAAAGGCCGGCATGGACACGAACTCGAAGGGAGCCAAGACCTACACCGCAAGGCTTGGCGATCGAATTCTTTGGGACCTTCATGAGGACAGGGATGTCTATAACGAGATGTGGCAGATCCCAGTGGTCCCTATGCCTAAGGAGAGGCAAGTGGCAGCAAGCATCAGCACCAAGGATGGAGCGGTCGGTAGCGACGATGGCGCGAACGGTCGCGCTAAGGAGAATGAGCTCAACAAGAGCAAACCTGGAGGGACCAGCAAGTTCAGTGAACCTAAGGAGAGTGGTGCAGCAACCAAGGAGCAGCAAAAGGGTGAGGAGAACCCAGAGGCAGCAGCGGAGGAGGACTACGGAGAGAGTATGTGGGGCGCTATTGCGAGCGCGGCATTCTCCAATCCAACTTCGGCTACGGGGGAGTGTGATTGGCTCACCTTGCATCGGCGCATGGGGCATGTGGCCCTGCCCATCTTGCAGCAGCTAGTGAAGAATGAGATGGTTGCTGGCATACGTGTGAAGGGGGAGCCCGATGAGGTGCTTGGCTGCCCGACGTGCATTCAAGCCAAGTTCACCCGGTTTCCGTTCCCTAGTTCGGAGGCAACGGCAAAGGCACCGCTTGATGAGGTGGTGATGGACGTGGTGGGCCCCCTGAAGCTTGGAGCTGCTGGAGCTGAGTATTTTCTCACCATTGTCGACGTCTACACCCGCATGACTTGGGTGTACGTGCTGGCCAAGAAGAGCGACGTGGCTGAAACGTTGAAGACGGATTGGTTCCCGATGGTGGAGCGGCAACAAGACCGTCTAGTCAAGTCAATCCGCACCGATCGAGGGGGAGAGTTCCTGAGCAAGGAGTTTGGGTTGTGGCTGAAGAAGAATGGTATTCGGCACTCCCTCACCATGCCATACTCCCCTGCAATGAACGGCATCGCCGAGCGAGCGAACCGCACAATCGCGGAGGCGGCACGCGGGTTGCTCATTGAAGCCGGGCTACCCGACTATTTCTGGCCTGATGCGGTGCGGAGCGCGTGTGTGGCCAAGAACAGAGCCTTGACTCATGTGGGAGCAGACAAATGGGTGCCCTATGTGGAGTGGCTAGGAAGGAAGCCAAAGGTGGATATGCTTCGGGTGTTCGGGTGCATGTGCATGGCGCTCGTGCCTAAGCATCTTCGGCACAACAAGCTTGGTGCCAAGGCGGTGTGGGCCGTGCACTTGGGCATGGCTCAAAACAGCAAGGGATGGCTTCTTTGGGACCCATTCACCAAGAAGTTCTTGGTGAGCAGGGACTGCAAGTTCATGGAGAACTTCATGTACAAGGATTGGAAGGCGGAGAATGAGGCGAAGATAGGCGTGCGGTTTGGGGAGGTGAAGAGTTCCGGTTTGGAGCATGTGGAGCTGCCTTTGGAGCTGAGCAGCGGCAGCACAACCACAAGGCAATCCTCCCTTGTGAATGGGGGAGAGGAGGCCAATGATGCAGAGGAAGAAGAGGAGGAGGTGCAGCAAGTGAGCGAGCGTGCACCGTCACTCCCTTCCCGTACTACGAGTGCTCCACGGATTCGAGCCACACCGCAGCAACGCCAAGGCCTTCAAGTCCCTGCAGCTGAGGAGGAAGGAAGGGGGAAGAGGAGAGTTCAACCCCCTAATAGGCTGACCTATGATGCGCCGGGAAAGCAGGGCAAGACAGCCCTGGCCGGAGCGGCAATGATGGTCGGAGACGACGAGGAGAGTGACTACGAGGAGTGTGCCTTCGCGTTCTTCTCTCCGGTGGAGATGCCGGGAGAACCAGCAACTCTCAAGGAGGCTTTGGAGAGTAGTGATGCTGAGGAGTGGAAGAAGGCCATGGAGAGTGAGCTGAAGAGCATCGAGGAGAATGACACGTTTGAATTGGTGTAGCTACCGGAGGGGCGTACGGCGATAACGTCCAAGTGGCTCTTCAAAATCAAGTCGGATGCCGACGGCAAGATCGAGCGCTACAAGTCTAGGCTTGTAGCCAAGGGGTACCAGCAGAAGGAGAAGGTGGACTTCAAGGAGCTGTTTGCCCCGGTGGTGAAGCCGACGACGCTGCGAACCCTATTCGCGGGAGCCGCCATCAAAGGATGGGTAGTAAAGCAAATGGACATCGTAACGGCATTCCTTAACGGCATCCTTGAGGAGGAGATTTTTATGGCGCAGCCAGAGGGGTTTGATGATGGTAGTGGCAGAGTGTGGAAGTTGAAGAAGGCCCTCTATGGGCTGAAGCAGGCCCCTAGGCAATGGTACATGAAGCTGCGCGAAGTGTTGGAGGGGATCGGCTTCACTCCCTCAACGGCCGATCACTCCTTGTTCATGCTTGGCGAGGGGGAGCAGAGGAGTTTCATGGTGGTTTATGTGGATGACATCCTCATTTTCTCACCCTCTTCTGACCTTGTGAAGGAGGTGATGCTGAAGCTTCAAGACAAGTTCAAGTGCAAGGCCCTTGGTGACGTGAGCTTCTACCTTGGGCTCCACATCGAACGAGATGTGGAGAAGCGGTGCATGCGGGTGCATCAACGAAAGTACCTGGAGGCATTGGCTGCCAACTTTGGGCAGAGTGAAGGCCATGTGGCTACACCCTTTCCCTCTGGGTTCAAGTGTGTGAAGGGACCAGAGGAGGAGAGCGTTGGTGAAGAGGAGAGGCGCCGATTTCACTCGTTGGTGGGCAGCCTCATGTATGCGGCGGTAAACACCCGACCGGACGTCGCGTTTGCTACCGGGCAGCTGGCTAGGGTTGTGCAATGCCCTAATGAGGAGCAGGTAGCAGCTGGAATGAGGGTGGCCAAGTATCTTGGCCAAACACCGACCGTTGGGCTGCAATACTCGGCGGCGGCACAAAGGCGCCAAAAGGGCGCGGATGGTGTTGAACCCGGGCGTTTGTTCCTCACCGCCTACTCGGATGCTTCATATGCATCAGAACCAGAGGACATGACAAGTGTGGGAGGCTTCATATGCTGTGTTGGTGGAGGCCCAACTGCTTGGGAGAGCAAGAAGCAGGTTGACCAAGCTTTGAGCTCGGTGGAGTCCGAGTACATGGCACTCTTCCGTGCCGTACGAGAGATTGTGTGGCAGCGGCGTTTGTTGGCTGAATTGGGGGAGGAGCAGCAAGGACCTACCCCACTGTACTGTGACAGCCAGGGTGCCATTGCTCTTGCTAAGAACCCTGTGTTGCATGGACTCACGAAGCACATGAGGGTGAAGTGGCATTGGACGAGGAGCATGGTAACCGCGGGTGAAGTTGAGTTGCTCTACGTGAAGACCACGGGGCAGCCGGCTGACATGATGACCAAGAGGCTGGTGGAGCAGCAGCATTGGAAGTGTTGCAAGCTGGCTGGGATGGCTCTGAACTGAGAGAGCAACATATCCTAAGACCAACAATCCGAGGGGGAGTTTGTTGGTGCAACCCTACGGTTTGCACTCGGCTTGTTGTCCGTGTGCGTGAATGTGTGTGTGTATGGAATGGTATGAGGGCATGGGATAATATATATTTCATGCTTATAATTGTGTGTGAATGTTGAGTCATGATGTCGAGTGTGTGTGTCGAGTCAATAGCGAGTTATCGCTAGACGCGTGTTACGCGGTCGTTTGTGTCTCGCGCGCGGTTTCTATTTTGTCGTGCGCGGTTTCTATTTTGTCCTGTGTCGAACGTTCGGCGTGTCGCAGGTGTGTGCAGCAGACCCATCAAGAACTCAAGGATGAGTTTGTGATGAAGAGCCCGAGCCTTGGTGTCAAGCCTCAAGTGATTTCGAAGCTCGCCAAAAAGGGTACACCTCAAGATATTGAAGATAGTTACATTACTTTGTGTAGTGTAACATTTCACTTGGTGTAGGCCCTAGTGAAGGGTAGTTTCGAGACCCTTCGTGGTTGGGGACAGTGTGGCACTGTTCCACATCACTGTACCTCGGCTCTTGGGGTTTGTAGGAGCTGGGAGTCATTCCCAACTCGTAACTCTTCCTATCTTGTGTTCTAAGACTATAGTGGCTGCCATAGTACCGTTCGTTCAAACCGACGCTGTGTCGTCAATTCTTTATCAAAACGTGCAATCTAAATTGCTAATTGTAGACGACGTGAGGACGCTCCAGATCCAATTTGAATCAAGTCATTTGCAGCTGTGATCAGAACGCTATCAACGTTTGAAGCCGCTGTGCAGAAATCCGTCTGTGCTCTCTATCTTTCGTTTTAGGCACATTCAAGCCTATTGTGACTATAACAGTAGCGACCTCATGGAGCTGAGGGCGGAAGTGCTGTCGCTGCTGCGCCTGCAGGAGGGGGAGGGGGAACGGGGGGGGAAAGAACAGGGGGCAGGGGAGCGGGAAGGGGGGGAATGCGGAGCAGGCAGCGCGGATGGGGAGCGGGAGGAGCTGGCGTTCGTACGGTTGTACGAGGTGGTGGTTGAAACGGGGACGGCGTTACATCTCATCCTGGAATACTGCCAGGGTGGCGATCTGTTTGACCTCGTTATAAGGCAGAAGCGACTTACCGAAGCACAAGCCGCCTCGGTATTCAGGTATTTATACGCTACGCATACGCTGGCGCATGTATGTAGCCGGCGCATACGCTCCCTCATTCTTCGCTACCGCCCTTTGCCTCTGCACCAACGATCTATTTGACCTCGTTATAAAGCAGGAACGAGTGAACGAAGCACAACTTGCAGCTCCGTTCAGGTGCACGCCCATCCCACAAAACCCCTTTATGTCCTCTAAACCCGCCCTTTCTTCATCAACCAACATCCCACCGCCTCAAACAAGAGAATACAGGCATAATTGGGTTGAGGGGTAACGAACGGCGTTCTGTTGAGGGCTACCTACTTTCCCCATTCATCCTTCTCCTCTTCCACACCATCCCCCCCCCCTCCCTTTCTTTCCCCCGTCCCATCCCCCCGCCCACTCGTGAGTGCATGATTTCGCCGTTGTTCATGCCCTGTGTTGTTTCCGCCCCTGCCAGAGGGCATGTCAGGAGTACCGAATCTCAACCACAGGGCATGTCAGGAGTACCGAATCTCAACCACAGGGCATGTCAGGAGTACCGAATCTCAACCACAGGGCATGTCAGGAGTACCGAATCTCAACCACAGGGCATGTCAGGAGTACCGAATCTCAACCACAGGGCATGTCAAGAGTACCGATTCTCAACCACAGGGCATGTCAGGAGTACCGATTCTCAACCACAGGGCATGTCAGGAGTACCGATTCTCAACCACCTCACACCCCCACGCACCACTGCCCTTGCGGAGACCATTCTGACTGCTGGATTCTCAGTTGCTCCATGCCCTTCTTGCCTCCTCCTTGCCTCCTATTCCCCATGCTGTCCCCTCTCAGGCAGTTGCTGCTGGCAGTGCACGCCATGCATCGCATGGGCATAGTGCACCGCGACCTCAAGCCAGAGAACATACTCCTTAGTAGCGGCCCCGGTGCTTGTAGAGGCCGTTGCACTGTAGCTGAGTGCAACTGCAGTGAAGATGGGGGTAGTGATGCCAGCGTTGACAGTAGAATCAGTGGGAACTGCAGTGGGGGGAACAGCAGCACCAGCTAGGGATGTTCCCATTGCAGGGAAGATTTCAAGACTGATACGACTTGCAGTGGTGACACGCCTCCCTCGTTACAGTCACTTAAAGATTCCATAAGTTCAGTCCCGTCTTCTGCTAGACATAGCAGCAGCAGCACAAGCACTGGGAGGAGGAGCAGCAGCAGCAGTAACGGCACAGGGAGCAGCATAAGGGAAACTTCTTTGCAGTCTTCGCCCTCACCTACTCTCCCAGCATCCTCTCCCTTCCTCCCGCTTCCCTCACCACCTCCCTCCCCTGCTCTCCCTCCATCATCTCCCTCCCCTGCTCTCCCTCCATCATCTCCCTCCCCTGCTCTCCCTCCATCATCTCCCTCCCCTGCTCTCCCTCCATCATCTCCCTCCCCTGCTCTCCCTCCATCATCTCCCTCCCCTGCTCTCCCTCCATCATCTCCCTCCCCTGCTCTCCCTCCATCATCTCCTTTCCACCTCTCACGAAACTCCCACCCACCATCCCCCTCTCTCGCCTCCCATCCCTCCTCCCCCTGTCTTTCTCTTCCACCCTCTTCCCCCACCGCTTCCCTTTCTCCTCTTGCACCTCCTCCACCTCCTTTTCCTCCTCTCTGCTCGTCCCCTCCTCCCTCTCCGGTCACCACGGCAGCCAGCCCCCCTGTGTGTCCCTGCACGGCAATGAGAGTCAACGTGGCTGATTTCGGTCTGGCAGCAACGCCCTCTTCTCCCACCACTACTCCTCCTCGTACCATCACGGCAACCAGCCCCCCTCCCTGTCCCTGCACGGGCATTCAAGTCAAGGTGGCGGATTTCGGGCTGGCAGCGACGCTGTCGCGCGGGCAGACAGCGGCGTGTGGGGTGGTGGGCTCGCCCTTGTACATGGCGCCTGATATCATCCGCGGGAGGCCCTATGCGGGGGAGGTCGACATGTGGAGCCTCGGCTGCGTTCTCTACACCTGCCTGTCGGGTACGTTGCAATTTATACACATGGTATGGTAATCTGGTTGTCTGGTTCTTGCCGGTGAGATCACACAAGAACCCCCTTTTCAAGAAGCTGGTGAGAAGGACATGTGAAGGTGCTGCCTGCTGCACATCCCTCACAATATTCGCATCTTACCGCTGAATGTGTTTGCCATCTTTCAATCCCACTAACATTTCAGGTACTGTGCCTTTTCACGGGAGGACTCACCGTGAGGTTTTCGCTTCGGTGTTAGGTTCGGCGCCGGACTTGAAAGGCGAGGTATGGGAGGGCATTTCGAGGGAGGCTAAGCAGCTGTTAAGGTGTCTGCTTGTAACGGATCCTGGGCGAAGGCTCAAGGCTCATGAGGTGCTGAATCACCCGTGGGTCAGAGCAGCGTGTGGAGGCGAGTGTGGGCGCCACGAGAGGGAGTGGGGGAAGGAAAAGACGAGGGAGAACGGAGAGGGAGTGGTGCGGGAGGGGGGTAGTAAGACTGACTGCAGGGGCGGAACGGGTGAACGCAGGAGTGGGAAGGGTCTTACAGCAGAGGGGAAGGTGAGTGGTGGAGTGGTGCATGTGGAAAAGGCGTGGTTGGAAACGCATCCAAAGGACGGCGCGAATGGGCAGCATGTGGTGGGGTGTGCGGAGTGCTGCGCTGGGTGCCATGCAAGCAAACCCCACACTTGCTGTCAGAGCCGCAGTGCCGATGCTGCTGGCAGGCTAGCTGTGCAGGAGAAGGTGGGTGAGAGTGCAAGCAGGAGTGAGAGTTCACCAGAGGTGGAGCAGGTGCACAGGCTGACCACGGGGTGTAGCAGTGGGACAAGTGTCAGCGCTACGGCGCGTCACGTTTCCTTGCCTTTCAACCCAGAGCCACCGGAACAGAGCACACGCCATAGTGAGGCAGCCGTGAGAGGGGAGGTCGAAGGACAGGAAGCGTGCTGGGAAGCAACAGTGCAGGATTTCATGAGAGAGGTGCACGTGGTTAAGGCATGTGTGAAAATCCACGGAGTGGAAGGCGAGGTTGGGCAGCATGAGGTGGGGCATGAGGTGGGTTGTCCTGATTGCCACCCAAGCAGTCCCAACAGTCTCTGCAAAAGCAGCCATGCTGATGCGTGCTGTCAGAGCAGCAGTGCCAGTGCTGCTGGCAGGCTAGCTACTCAGGAGATGGTGCGTGGGAGTGAATGCAGGCGCGAGGAAACAGGAGAAGAGGGGAAAATGGCTGGGCTGACCAGGGGGAGTGGGAGTGGGAGCAGGAGGAGAAGCATTGGCACTGAGGCGAGTCACACTCACACCTCCTCGCCTTTCAATCCAAACCTACAGGAAGAGAGCAGACGTGGGACTCACCGTAGAGGTGGAGAGGAGGTGGAGGGTAAGGAGGCGTGTTTGAAAGCATCAGTGCATGAATGTGCTGCGCAGCGGTGCAGTGAGGCTGCAGAGGTAGACATCTGCTCTCCAGGTGGTGCTTGGGGTGCTGGCTGCTGTGGGAGTATCGGTCCCACTGACTGTAGCACCGTTGATTGTAACACTGCTGACTGTAACACAGCCTACTGTATTACCGCTGAATGTAGTCCCACTGACTGTAGCACCACTGACTGTAGCACCACTGACTGTAGCACCACTGACTGGAGCACCACTGACTGTAGTCCCACTGACTGTAGCACCACTGACTGTAGCACCACTGACTGTAGCACCACTGACTGGAGCACCACTGACTGTAGCACCACTGACTGTCGCACCACTGACTGTAGCACCACTGACTGTAGCAGTGGTTGCAGTGGGGTTGGTGAGACTACATTGACTGGTAACAGTGGTGCTGGCAGTGGCAGCAGTGACGCTGGTGGTGGTGGCTTTTATTACAGCTGCAGTTGTTATGACAGTGGTGACAGCTGCAGCAATGACAGCAATTCAAAGAGTAGATGCATTGGCAGCAGCAATAGCAGCAGTCACTGCCTATGTACCAAGAGTGCAAGAAGTGATATTGGTGATGGAAGAAGCCCCATTTGCTGCAAGGGCGGGGGAGACAGTGGCTGCAGTCACAGTCGCCTTGCTTGGAGGATGAGTGGCAAGATGTTTACGTGCTATGGCAGCGGAGGTAATAGTGGTGGTGGCAGTGGCAGTGGTGGTGGCATTGGCAGTGGTGGTGGCATTGGCAGTGGTGGTGGCATTGGCAGTGGTGGTGGCAGTGGCAGTGGTGGTGGCATTGGCAGTGGTGGTGGCATTGGCAGTGGTGGTGGCAGTGGCAGTGGTGGTGGCAGTGGCAGTGGTGGTGGCAGTGGCAGTGGTGGTGGCATCAGTGGTAATGGTGGTTTCAGCATGATGCACCAGATACAGCTGTCAAGTAGTGTGGGTGTACTCTCAAGTTTCTTTTCTCTCTTCTGTGCTTGTGGTTGCAGCCAGTGGCCATGGGTTGCCATGTGGTTACAGATAGCAAGTTGTGTGTGTGTAACATTTGTACATTCCCCTATTTTCCCAGCTGGTATTGGCTGAAAATAATAATAGCAGCCCTTGTCTCTGATAGGCTATAATGAGTAGGGCTGTGGGGAGTACAACACTTTCTAGGGTTAGTATTTGTATCTCCCATCTTGCTAGTCACATCATTCCGTTGTCACTTTGGTACCACGAGTAGGTAACGCTCCGAGCCTAGCCTAGCCCGCCCCGCCCCGTTCCCTAGCCTAGCCCGCTCCGTCCCGTTCCTTAGCAGGCCGCGCCCTGCCCCGCCCCACTCGTAGCCAGCTGCGCACAGCGTGCTGCCCCGTCCCGCCCTGTAGCCGCGCACTGCCTGGTCCCGTTCCGCCCCGCGCTGCCCGCCCCGTGCGCTGCACTCCTCGCGCTGCTCAGCCCGCACTACCCGCCCAGTTTCACGCGGCCCGCCCCGCGTTGCCCGCCTTGCATTGCCTGGCCCGCGATACCCGCCCCGTTCCGCGCTGCCCGTCCTACACTACCCACCCCGTCCCGTCAAGAGCAGCCACGCGCGCTGCCGCACACACGTAGCCGCGCACACGTAGCCGCACTCACGTAGCTGCACGCGCAGCAGCAGCCACGCACTACCAGCGCCCTGTACAGCAGCAAATGCGTGCGTAGCAAGCAGCCGCGCGTATGCCAGCCGCCAGGCGCACAGTGGCACGCGCACTGCTGCACGCGCACCAACAGCAGCGCACGCGCCTGCCGCCGCCGCACGCGCAACTGTACCTACTGCGCCCACAGCTGCAGCACCCTTCCACGCCCCTCCGGCAGCGCACCTGCTGCCATAGCCATTCCCCGCGGCGGCTGGCCGCCGCAGTCGACCTCCCTAGGGCACGTTAGGGTTAGTGCCTCTCCGTGCCTGGCGTCTCTAGCCCTATCGGTGTGGCAGTCTCGTGACGCGGCTGCTTGCATTGCACTCGGCATCCTTCTCCGCGAGTCTGAGGAGGCTCACTTCACCCAGGTTCGATCCGCCAAGGACATGTTCACTGCGATTAAGACCCATCATTCCACTCCCTCCTCCGCCTCTCTTGGTCGCTTTGCCGTTTTTGTCTCCCGAACTAGGAGCGTTTAACCGCGCTTCTGACCTTCTCACCCACCTGCGCTCGCTCGATGTCAACCACCGTGCTGCTTGCACCAAGGCTGAGCTGCACTACTACCCCTGCCCATGGCGATCACTATTCACTTCATCGTCATTAGCCTCCTTGGCCGCCTTCCCCTGTTTGTGACGTGCTTCTTCGGAGGCACCCTAGTGCGCTCACTATTGATGTCCTTCAGACGGCTCTCAAGGACATCGAGAGCAACATCCACTCCGTTGCCTCCGCATCTGCCGCTGTAGTTCCCCCACTCCTTACTCGTCCGGCCACCGCACCCTTCCAAACCCTCCACTTGGACGTTTGGGGCCCTGCCTCTCTCCTTGGGCCCGAGAGGGAGAGCTTTTTTCTGGTGGTCGTTGGCGACTACTTTGGTTACACCACGGTGTCCCTCTTGGCGAAGAAGTCCGACGTGACTTTTACCCTGATCAGGTGGTTGCTGGCCACTGAGGCCACTCGTGATATTCATGTCCGTTCTCCACTTTGACCGTGTGGGTGAGTTTCGCTCCGTCATTCTTCCCAGATTCTATAGCGAGCAGGGCATCACCCAGTCTTGGACGCTTCTGGAGCCCCCACAGCAGAATGGGGTTGTTGAGCACCGCATAGGCTTGGTCATGGAGATCTCCCGCACCTCTATGATCCATGCCCGTGCTCTCCATTTTCTGTGGCCCTGCAGTTTGCTACGCTGCCCACTAGCTGAACCTATGGCCTCGTGTCTCACAGCCAGAGGCTTCACACACCAGACTTGGGACCAGGTCCCATGGTGCTGCATCTGAGTATCATGTCTGGGGTTGCCTTGCACTTGTCCGCGTCACCTCTGCAGACAAGCTCTCAGCTCGCTTTCTCCCTTGTGTCTTCCTTGGTTTCCCGGTGAACACTCTGAACTCCTCGGTAGCACGTCAGGTACCACCCAGTCACCACAACAGCCATCGGCACTATCGTGACAGTTCACAATGGACCCTGGGGGTGTTGGTGTTGGAGGCATGGGCGCTGGAGGTGCTGGTTCAGAGGGTGCTGGCACTGGAGGTGCTAGTTTTGGGGGTGCTAGAGCCGAGGGTGCTGGCGTACGAGGTGCTAGTTCTAGGGGTGCTGGAGTTGGAGGTGCTGGCACTAAAGGTGCTAGTTCTGGGGGTGCTGGATTTGGAGGTGCTGGCACTGGAGGTGCTAGGTTTGGGGTGTTGGAGATGGAGGTGTTAGTGCTGAGGAGACTGGAGGTGTTGGCACTAGAGGCACCGCTACCACGGCACCTACCCCACCTCCCCACCGCTACCCAACGCGTTTCCAGGAGGTTCGTCAGCTGGAGCGTGAGCAGCAGGAGAGATTGGAGTAGGAGAGACTAGAGCTGGAGTAACAGCAGCAAGAGCTGCAGCAGCAGGAGCTGCAGCAGCAGGAGCTGCAGCAACAGGAGCTGCAGCAGCAGCAGCAACAGCAGCAGCGGACACTACAGCCATCAGTTTTGCAGCAGCTGTTCCCTCATGTGAGTGGCATATGTGAGTGGCATACCCTTGGTCACCCTTCTTCCTCCTCGGACCACTCCTCGCCTCCTACGGCACACATCCTTTCTCCTCTAGACTCGCCCACAGCTGTCTTCTCTCCTCCTCGATCACATTCGTCTCTTCCTGTTGTCCCGCACGACTTGACAATTCACTATCTCATGCGTGCTCGTCCCTCGTCTCCTTATGACGACCTTTGCATTGTCTTGTTTTCTTCTAGTCCTTGTCATTCTCCGCCTCAGACTATTCTCCTGTCACCTCTTGATTCGTCTCTTACAACCTCCTCCCACCCTATCACTGGCTACTACCACACTGCTTGTCCTGCTGTCTCCCTGTTCTCGCCTCTCTTATCAAGGACCCTACTACTTCTTCGTTGTCTGTCTCGGCTCTTGTTACCGTTGCTGCTGAATTTGCCACCACCCGCCGCCTTGACTACGCCACCCGCGTGGTGGACCGTCCGCCGCGGGTGAGTTTGCCCTTGGCTGTGACGTCCTAGAGGATACGCAGTTTGAGCTGGAGGCCTTGGCAGCCGCTTCTCCCCACCTCTATGCCATGCTGCAAGCCCCTGAGGAAGACCTCGACGCCCTTGACATACCGACTCCTCGCACGTTCTGTGAGGCCGAGTCAGGGCAGAGGGGCTCTTAGTGGATAGAGGCCATGGACTCAAAGATGGCGTCTTGGAGATCCACAGGCACTTACGTCGAAACAGTTGCTCCTCCTGCGGCGAACGTATTCGATGGCATGTGGATCTTCAAGGTGAAGCAGCCGCCGGGATCGCCACCTATCTTCAAGGTGCACTACATGGCTAGAGGCTTCAGTCAGTGTGCGAGAGTTGACTTCTTCCAGACCTTCGCCCCAACCCCCAAGATGGCTACTCTTCGGGTGTTACTTCACATTGCAGCAAAACAAGCCTATGAGCTGCACTCCCTCGACTTCTCCACTGCCTTTTTCCAGGGCCGCCTACACGAGGAGATCTGGCTGCGCGTCCTCTTGGCTTCACTGGCACTTTCCCGCCTCGGACCTAGTGGAGCCTAACTCGACCAGTCTATGATCTCCGCCAGGCGCCCCGTGGATGGCACAACCCGCTACGCACCACTCTTGCTGACCTCGGGGTCTGTCCTTCGTCTGTCGACCCGTTGCTGTTTGTCCGCGTTGGCTCCACTCCGTTCTTTGTTCTTGTCTATGTGGACAAGACACATGTACGCTGACCTGAGTGAACTGTGCCACTACCTTGGCTTGCAGATCACCAGGGACAAAGCCGCTCGCACCATTAGGTCACACATGGTGCAGCATGTTTGCAGTTTGAGTTCCAGTTTTTTCACTAAACAACCCACTCCTCTTGCCGTCAATCATAGACTCATTGGCCCTTTTCTCTATGAACCCTTTGAGTCCAGTGGACCCTACGCAGAGCTTGTGGGCTGCCTCATGTACGTGATGGCCTGTATTCGTCCGGACCTCGCTCCTCCACTCAGCATCCTGTCTCGCTTTGTTGTGACAGGGAGACACCGTATGGCTGATGTGAGGGTGGTGAAGTACATGGCGACTACATCAAAAATGGGGCTTGTGCTTTGGAGGGATACAGTCAGTTGTGCTAACCGATCACTGCGACTCTTCCTACGCCGGCGACGTGCAGACTCGGCGGTCTACACAGGACACTGTTCTAGCCTGGGCGCTGGAGTTGTGTCGTGGAGATCTACTTGGTCGTTGTCTGTGGCAACTCTAGTGCAGAGGCAGAGATCTACGCAGGTGCCATGGCTACGCAAGAGTTTCGCCGGTTGACCTTCTTGCTCACCGACCTTGGTGAGCGGCCGAGCACTACGCCGACCTTGTTCGCTGACAAAAATGCCATGATCCTTCTGTGTTGAGAGCCTCGACTCGAGGGCACACATGAACGTGAGGTACTTTCTCCTGTGAAAGTTGCAACGACGCGGCCAGGCACGCTTGGAGTTTGTGGCCTCTGTTGCCAACAGTGCAGACATATTCACCAAGGCCCTTCCGTGTGGTGACCACCA